CGAGGGCTGCCGGCCGTCGGGGGCCTCTGCGCTTCACCTCCCGGGACACTTCAGCCGTTGACCGGGGAGCATCCACCCACCCTCACCCCGAGGGTCCGCGCCGGTGAAGGACAGCGGTCCCTTGCACGGCAGCAGGATGGCGCGGACCATGAGACCCGACGACATCAACCCCCGGACGGGGCTGGTGGGGGCCAGCGTCTTCCTGGTGTTTGGCTTCATGTTCACTGTGTCCGGCATCAAGGGAGAAACTCTGGGGGACATTCCGCTGCTGGCCATCGGGCCAGCCATCTGCCTGCCGGGCATTGCCGCCATCGCCCTCACAAGAAAGACCGATGGCTGCACCAAATGGCCCAAGAACAAGTGTCCATGCTGCAAGCAAGTCAAGGACCGGGATGTCATGGAGCTGCTGAGGACCCCCTCCGACCTGGAGTCTGGCAAGGGGAGTTGTGACGAGCTAGCCAAGAAAGCATACCAGAAGGACAGGAGAGCGCTGCGGGGTGAGGACTCTGTGTCCATCTGCACCACCACGACCACCACCACCATGGGAGAGTGCAAGAGCCTCATCAGAAAGGTGGAGCAGGAGGAGCTGCTGAGATACCTGGAGACCTGTTACCCAGAGATGCCGGGGAATGTGTTCGTGAGAGATGGCTCCACGTACAGTGCCTTGGAAAAGAGCTATTCTCCCACCGGGGACAGCGCTGCTTGCCCGGATATTGAAGACAACATTTTTGTGGCTCCTAAAGACAGTATCATTGTCTGCTCTTACAAGGAGAACAGCCCTTATGACAGATACTGTTGTTACATAAACCCTACTGGAGTCAACTCAGACCAGGAGACCATAGTGTGAAAGATGCATACTTTATATATATATATAATGTTTGTATACAAAAACTACAACTTCAACTTCTTGATAGGGGATAATATAGCTGACTGCACTGCATGGGACAATCCTGATACTATTACAATTTAACCTGGTATGTGACTGATACTCAAACCTTTTGTGCCTGAAATACTCTTTCTGTAAGTAAACAAGCATGTTTAAAGGTTAAAGAATTCAGTTCTTCATTTTGGGAAAAAGAAATTATGTTTTAATTTTCTTTTCTCCCTTTCCCTCTCTTTTCTTTTTCTGCTGCTTATTCTACCCAAGCCCACAGACACACGGGCAGGAGGGCAGCAGTGTCTGTCAGCTGAGATCAAGAGCTGAATTAAAACTCTGGAGCTGTGTGTAGGAAAAAATTAGGTTCTCTATGGCTGAAAGGGTCTTAGCTATAGTGTCACTTTGTTTTGGGAGAGATTGGGAGATGTCAGCATAGACTCCAACAGCTGGCTGATGTTGGGGAGTGTAGAAGTTATTTGTGACTCTTCCTACTTCTTCCTGGCAGGATTTTATTTCCTCTGCTTCAAGGAATTGATGTGCTGACCCCATGGGCTCTTCTGAAAGTCTCCTAGGAGCCAGACAGGCTTAGGGGAGTTTTCAAAGGCTAATCCATCATTAATAGCATGCAAGGTACAGGTTTTAGCTTAATTTCCCCACTGGTCTTGAGCTCACTGGAATGCTTCTAACACTTTTGGATTTTACAGGCATACTTGACAAGGAGATTACAACATGGTCATGACACAGTTCTTGCAGAGACTATGAGCAGATATCAGTGGACTCAGGTCTTAAAAATAGATTTCAGTACCTCTAAAGTCACTTAAGGAATAGACTTCTATGGGTTGTGTTCAGAGGTGGATCTGACTCATCTGAAAATGTAATTTTCATGTGCCTTTCCTAAAATGCCAGATATTTCTCTGTGGCTGATGAATGGTTACACTCCACTCAGGGGTCTCAAAGCCATGCTTTGCTGAGGGGAGGGAACAGAGGACGTGGCTGACAGATGTTTTTTGTTCATAGCTTATGGATACATAGCATGAGAAATAAGAAGTGAGTGATAAGGATTAACCATTCAAAATCTGAGCCTGCGTCTTACACACAGAAATGCAAATCCTGTCTATTCTGTCCAATAGTAAATTGCATGTTCCATGCTTTGTTTAAAGTCTTATCTGTCCTTTACTAAGTAGGTAACAGAGATGTATAATACAATGTGCATGCTAAGCAGCTACTCTAATAAGCTCTTAGGGTAACAGTTACTAAAGCACAGAGTTGTTTGCTAGCATCTCACAAAGTCCCAATTCCTATAATTAAACTCTCACAATTCCAAAATTTTCTCTGTGATAGAAAAATTAATAAGTGTTCTCACTTAGCTGTTTTTTGTCAACCACAATTTGTACTGGACAAATGTATGGAATAACCAGGGTAGGAAGGAAGAAAAACAGCCTTTGTTTTGTAGCAGCCCGAGATGTTGTGTAGAAAGTGGGAAGGAATTTTCCACTGAAGTGAGCCATTCTTCGCTGCCCATGGAATTGTTTGGAAAGTGAATGGAAACTTTATGCATCCACTAGTTTGTTTGTTTGTAAACTTATGTCAAATTGTTACAGACAACCAATCTCTGAATAGGTTTCCAGAAGGAGGAAATACAACTTTTTACATAAGATACTTTGTTTTCATTCAGACCAAACAAGATGTTTATACTCTGGCCAGTCTTTGGTGAGGCATCAGGATGCTATTAGGATAAATTACAAAAATACTAGCTAGCTTGAGTCAGGTAAAGCCTCTCAGTAGGTTGGTACAGGCAGATTTGCTGCTCTTGCATGCAGCAATAGTACTGTAGGAATAAATAAATATTTACACTCAGTACAGACCAAGTTCTATCCACTGAGCAAAGGAATTCCACAAAAACAGACCCTCTCCGTGACATGTTCAACTCCCACTTCCACATAAAAGCACTCTCTTGTCAGGCTGATTGTCTCCTGTGGGTTTAGTCACTGCAGGACCTTATTCTGCAATGTACAGAGCTGCTCTTTGATGGCACTGGGAAGTCTTATTTCATGACCTCTGTAGTCAACTGCTAAAATACTGCTGATGAACATGATGAGGAATAGGGTCTTTCATTACTGTCTGTTCCCAAGGAAAGCAGGTGAGGGTCTCAGCCTGTGACTGTGAGTGCGCTCAGGATCCCTGAAGATCAGACCCATCATGAGAAAACAGGCTGCCAGGTAGCTGCATACTGCCTTTGCCGGGGCTGTGAACAATCACTTGCCTTGCATAAAAGAGTAAAGCATCAGCCTGCTGGGAACCTAGATTTGTACAGCTCTGCAAATATATATAGGAAGAGGTCAATTTTTTCCATTTTGTCTAGGATTAGATGTTCTCTGTCAAAAGTTATATGGGGTTTTACAAGGCAAGACAGCAAACTCTAGTGGCAAATGGAATGGTAAATATATAACTTGAGATATAGCCACACAGATCGGAGTCATGTGCTTTATTCCATTCTTAGTGTAGAAAAAAGAGAATGTTTGTATTAAAGCAAAGTTTAACGGGAGTGAAAATTTCCCACAATATAGAAAGAGATATAAAAAAATATATGTTTAAAACATGGTATTTACAGGCAATGTCCTTCCTCCATTCATTTAGATAAGATATTTCATAACAAAATACAAGTTTAAGAAATATTTCTAGGCTAATCTACCATAATCCACTACAGTTTTTTATTGAGCATGTGGGAATTCGAAGTTAAAGAAATATATTAGCACTGCCTCTGAAATCTCTTTCTCTGTGATTTTTCCTTTCTTTTCTCCTGGTTAAGCGGAGAATTAAATGAAATTTGATTTATATGTCCATTTTAAAAATAATAATTTGACCATTTAAAAATACAAGATGGTTGGGTTTCTTGGGGTTTTTTGTGTTGTTATTTTTTTTTTGTGGGGTGGTTTTTGGTTTTTGTTGGGTTTTTTTGGGTTTTTTTGTTGTTGTTGTTGGTTTTTTTTTTTTTTTTTTAAATAAAGTGAGGTTTTTCATGTACTCTAGCTTTGCCAGTAGAAGTATACTGCTTATTTGATCAAAGATGGCATGACAGCAGCTTCAAGGTTTTTATGCAGATACCATGCCCAGGCCAGGGAATTACTGGGTCTTTATTTTCGGTCATCTCGTGGTCTCTTCTGATAGCAACTAGAACTTGTAGAACCGGTGCTGATCTTAGAACAAGCAGGAATAATCACGTTGCTGTTCATAGGCAGCTTCTAGTCCTGGGTCTAAAATTTAGCTTCAGAATGCCACAGCTTGGGCTGTGATTCCAAGCCATGACCTGGAGATGAGAGCTTCTTTCTGTCCTTGCTACCTTTAAAATACCTCTGGGTCAAAAATCCCACTTCTCTCCTCCATGCTGTTCTCCAAGCAGTGCACGCAGTTGTAGCAGAGCTCTGTTTGTTGGGCTAATGCCTGGTCTTATTGAAGTCTATGGCCACATATTGCTTGGTCCTACAGTATGGATGGCAGGGCATACATTAGTGTTTGAAGAAAAACAGTGACTTGGACATTCAGAGAAGGTTCCTAAGATATATAAAATTTATTTTTAGAATAGCATTGGTCATACTGCTACAGTGGAGTTTACATTCTTTTAAGAAACAATGTGATACACAAATCAGCTGTATGCAGGGCAATTTTGTGTTGCTTTGTCTGAATTTCTATTGTCATAAATAACATTTTTACAGTCATACTAGCTGATCATTGCAAAGCCTTTAACAGAAAATTGTGAGTTTTAATTGGTGTGCAGTTTGTTCCCCTAGAGCATGAAACAACAGCTGGTCCATTCTACCAAATGAGTGGGAGGTGAGCGTGCTCAGGATGTGTGTCCCTCGCACCAGCACTGTATTCTTGATCTGTGTTCTGCAGAAATCTAGTGCTCTTCCACAGGCAGTTCCTCCCCATCCGATACAACTTCTCTGCAGTCCTGGATCCAGTAACTATTTGGTACATTGTAATGAGCACAGTAACAGCCAGTATGATCTCCCTCAGCATTTCTGCTAGTACATACCAGACTGCGGAGTGAGCTCCTGCTCTTGACCAGGGTGGTAGAAGCTGAGCGTACATGATCCATCCTGTGTAAGCTGTTATGTTGAGACATCCCACTGAACTATCAGTTCTTACAGTACAGGCCTGGGATTTTGCATCTCTATTCACACCATTCACAGTGGAGGTGCTGTAGAGATGGGTTAGAGATGGGGACTGTCAGGCTTCAAAGGCACTTCCAGCCTGATTTTTGTGAGCATTTAGAGTCTGATCTATTTATATGCAGAGCACAAGCTGCGCTCAGAAGCTTGGATCTCAACACGTTGCCAGTAAAGCCATGTTGCTAAAGAATGCAATTCTGTCCTGGGAGATTTTCTGAGTCTTGAAAGGTTTCTGTGTAAGTTTCTGATATCAATCACGTTAAAACTCATAGAGGAGTTTCCTAATATGTAGACTAGAGGAGTTTTCTTGACACGTTCTTAACACACAGCATGAGGCATCAGCTGCAAAGCTGAGACAATTTCTACTCTGCAGCCAGTCTGAACATTAAATCCCTACTGAGAGCCCTACTTCCCTGGTACTATGGGCACTTTTATGTCTGCTCTTTAGAAACAACACAGAGAGCAGATCTAGAATTCACTTTTAATGCTCTCTGTCAACTTTCATCAGTAAGCATTACCTTAAGCTTATCAGTCCTCTCATTGGAGGAATTCCAGACCCTGTATATCTTTACCAGGTAACGAGATCCAGCTATCATTGGGTTTTAAATCGTGATTTATATTCTGCTTGTAACAGTTGCAGAGATTAGCCCTCACTATTCTATTGTCAGATGCATGCAGAAGTGTTTCTGCTTACTCTTTTTACTTACAAACGCTGCACCACGCATAGGTGTATATACATTACACATTTGTTTGCAAGAGCAGGTCACAGAATGCACGAGCATAGTAATATATTAATTT